CCTTCATTCTCAGTGTCTCTCTCTGGTCCTTGCATGTGGGTCCCTACCTCTCAGAGCCAGGAATGATGAGTCAAATCCTTCTCCCTGACTTTCCCTTCTACTGCCTCCAGCCTGAGAAATTCTCTGCTTTTAAGGGCCCATGTGATTATATTGGGTCCACCTGGATAATCCAGGCTACTCCCTATTTCAGCCTGTAACTTTAATCACATATGCACAGTCCCTTTAGCCATGCGATTTAACATATTTCATACTCACGGACTATGGGACTAGGGTATGAACATCTTTGCAGAGGCGTTCTGTCTACCACAGGCTTCTTACAAAGAAGTAAACTATTTTGTCAATACACACTGAATGATATTAGTAAAGGGAGGCAAAAAGCTGCACTGAGAGCAAGGAGCAGAGATATCTAGACCTTTAGAGTGGAGGTTGGTAAGGCGTGCCTGGCTTCCTAAAGCAGGTAACATCTAAGTCGAGATGTGGAGAAAGGGCTCTGAATCAAAGGGTTAACCCTTCCAGGCAGGACTGTGCTTGCAGAAACCTGGAAGGGGCTGTGCCCTAGGACTACATTTGCGTTGACGCCTTCAGCTCAGCATGGATTTCTGACCAGGGGCATCTTTAGTAAGGTCTGATGGACCAAGTTTATACGCAGGGCAAGGCAGGAGAGGGTAGGGTTCTTGTGCTTAGCTTCCAGGAGGCAGGGGCTTTGCAGTGGGCAGAGTATGGGTGTGGCATTGAGCTTCCAACCTACACCAAACATCCTGGGGCACCTGAGACAGTGTGTGAACCTCTGCCTTTGCTTATGATGCCACTCCTTTTGCAGGTGTCGTCCTTCCTCATCTTTCCGCTTACAGCAGATGTGTTTTTGAAAAGGGGCCTCAATGCAAAACTCTTTAGTTCATTCATTAATATGCTCACTTATTAATTACAAAACACCTATTGAGCACCTAACACATGCCAACTGCCTGCTAGGAGAATATAGCAGACAGCAAGGTAGAAGGGGCCCCTGCTCACCATCTAAATACAAGCAAAACGTAAATCTTTCATTCAGGAACCCAGAAACCCTGCTCCAAACCTGTTGCTGCAGGCTGAGGACAGTTTTTCCTCTCAGATGAATGAGAGTGGAAGCTACAAGAGTAACATCTACCACTGAGCATTAACCACTTTGATACTGTCATCGATACCTCCCTTTTATAGATGAGGAAACTGAGGCTCAGGTAGGTTTAACCAACATTACCCAGATAATAGGTTGCCAAGCTAGTATTTAAATCAGACTTTCTGACTGCAGAAGTTGCTGGCTCCAGCACTATATTCTGGGGTCTATACTATACTTCTGCCAGAGACCAGGCATTACGCTAGGGCTTTGTGTAAGTCCTGGCATTAGATTTTCCTAATAACCCTCCACCCCCCATTTTAGAGATGCAAGAATAGGGGTCCAGGAAAGTTCAGTAACTAACCTGGGGAAATATAGCTGGTGAGTCTCAGCATTGGGATCTGAGCTCCTATCTGTCTAGCTCCGAAGTGATTTCCCATTATGATATGGAAGAGAGAAGCAAATGAAGAGTTGACTGTGGGGAGAAAGGAGCCAGTGGGGAAGGAGGGGTTAGAAGGAGAAGAGAATCGTGTCGGAGTGGGGTGACACAGAGGAGAACTGAGGCTGGAGGAGGTGTGAAGGAGAGGCCTTATGGTGGCAGCAAGGGATGAATGCGAAGAGAGCAGTGTTCTGTGCAGGGCTGTTTTCAGAAGCTGGACTGTGAAGTTCCAACTTAGGAGTGAGAGCTCTATGAACATGTAGCGGTCCCCATGTCAGGTGGTGGAGAGGAAAGGGGAGCTTTGAGTCTGTTTGCTGAGAAAGGGGAGGGAGGCATGAGCCTGAGGGGAAGGAGACTCTGTGTGTGTGTGTGTGTGTGTGTGTGTAAGGTTCAGGGATTATATCAAGAGCATGGGAAGGCTGTTCTCAAGGAGGCGAGACCCTCTTTTGCTAAGATCAGAAGCAAGCAGGAGAGGTGGGTAAATCTATAGAGAAATTCTGACAGTAAAAGAGTAATGTGACAGGGTGGCTTGTAAAATGGGATGCCCATCTTTGTTTTTCCTATCCACCCCATTGTGATGAGACTGTATTCATTTTCTGGGACTGCCATGACCAGTTACCATGAACTGGGTGGGGGGGGGTGCTGAAATCAGCAGAAATGTGCTTTTCACAGTTCTGGAGGCCAAAAGTCCAAAACCCAGATGTCGCAGGGTTGGTTCCTTCAGCAGGCTCCTGGAGAGAATCGGTTCCCAGCCTCTGTCCTAGCTTCTTGTGGTTACCAGCATTCCCTGGTGGTCTTTAGGTTGGAGACACTCCAACCTCTGCCTCGGTCTCCATGTGGTGTTCTCCGTGTGTGCACGCCTGAGTCCAAATTCCCCTCTTCTTATAAGAACACCAGTCACTGGATTAAGGCCTACCATAATCTATGACCTCATTTTAACTTGATTACATCTGCAAAGGTTTTATTTCCAAATAAGGTCAAATTCACAGGTACTAGGAGTTAGGGTTTGAACATATCTTTTTGTTTTTTTGAGCGGGTGAGGGGGGAGCACAATTGAACCCAAAGCAGGGCACAAAGGATATAGTGTGTGGGAAGGTGCCCGGAAGGGTATAAATGCTACAGGAATTCAAAGTCATACCCAAATCACTGGTTCAAGGAACTTTAAAGATGAATATACTTCTAAAGTAAACTATTTCTTCCAGAATTTATGTTTTGCATAAAACCCCAGAGTTTCCAATAAAGGGTTTGTTGAAAGTAGTGTCCATCACAGCACAGCCCCTGGGAGAAAGTACTCTTAGCAAATGGACTTCCTCACTGCTTGCTTCCTGGGAAGGTTTCCAGGGACCAAACACACATGCTCCCCACCTTCCTTTTAGGGGTTATTGGGAGACAGTGCCTTCTTTCTGCCCCCTTCTGTCTCCTGTACCCTTTGTTTTTGAATGGAGACTTACTATTGGTTCTAACCATAAACCAAATTAGTCTCGATTTCTCCCCGTCCCCATCCCCACCTTTTCACCTTCCTCCCACCCCCCAGATTTCAGTTAATACAGCTAGGAACAGATGTCCAGGTGTGTCTTGAAGGGTGGATGCCTTTGTGGATCATTTAGGCTCTTCAGTTGCTGTGAAGTGTTGGCCAGAAGGGGGAACCACCTCTCAGGGGCAGGACAGGGCCCAGAACCAGGGAGCCTGTCTGGGCCCCAGGCACTGTGCAAGAGCCAGACTTCCACTCTCCTAGAACCTTGCTTGGCCATAGAAGCCCAGACTCTCTGAGCAGGGAGGCAGCTTAAACATAGTTTTGTTCTGCCATTGGTATCGATTTGGGGTCAGGGAAGCCTTAGAGTTCAATCAAAGTTACGGACCTCTATCCTAAAAATATACATAAATATCCACAGAAAAGTTCGGATAATTTCAAAAGCTTCACTCACACCCCTTGGCTTCTTCATGAACCCAAGGCTAATAACCCCTGATTGAACACACTCTCTACACCCCCAATTTCCCGAGGAGAAACTGAATTCAGCCAGGGGAATGGATTTGCTCTCATGTTGTGCATCTACTTAATGGGGAAACCCAAAACTGAAGTGCAAATTCTGGTACTCTTATTTTAACCACAATATACAGTTTGCTTCCATGAAATAAAAGTGACTCCTCCCCTTTGAAAAAGAGAATCTGAAGGAGAATTTTGCTTTTGTTGGAAGGAGAGTAATGGGAGTGGGAGTTACAGGAGGAAAAGCTTGCCTGGCTCCCGGTGTTGGTGAGATTAACCCATTACAACACAGACATACATCTGCAATGGTCCTGAGATCCCATTCTGCACTAGTGTAATGGGGTTATTAAGTGTCATCAGTTGGGATTCCAGCTTTTAAGAACCTTGTTCTCTCTGAAGGTAAAGTGGTATGTGTTCGTAAAGGACTGTGATGGAAGGTAGAAGACCTACTTGGGGCAGGACCTTAGATCCTCACTGGGGCATCACAGAAGCAAGGTTTCTATTTCTCTAGTCCATTGATTGCCCCTTTCCCGCTGGGGGTGACCTCTAACAGGGACAGCACTTCTGTTGTTCAAAAGATTCATATTCTGCAGTAGACGCCCACCACTTTCTTCAGCCTCAGGAACACATTCCTTCCTCTTCCCAACATCCTTTAGATTCTGGGACAAACCCATCTCAAATGGGGGTGAGGAGAAAGGTCCTGATTAACCAAAATTCAGGCGATTATATTGGGAAAGTGTCTGTACTAAAAGCTCTTTGGGGGTGGGGAACTCTCACAGATTCCGGGGAGGTCTTAATGTGGAGATGTCCAAATTTAGGGGAGCCCATTCACCCTCGGTTGTCTCCAACTTTTCTTTTGGAGTTCTCAGATTAAGAGGCCCTGGATGGGGGTCAGAGTTTTTTGTTTGAGGGGTCTCCAATTGTTTGAGGGCTGGCTGTGTGCCTGGCCGATGGGGTTACGGATTCAGGTGGCTTCTCTTGGGGCTCCTAAATCCACGTCCCTCATCCCTGACGGGGCCTGGGCCTCGCGGACTACGAAAGCTATCGAGCGCTGCACCCCCACCTCCCGGGCGGGTCTGGGGCGAGGACCCCTCCCCTGGTTCCATCCCCTCGGGGCCCGCCGTGCGGGCGCTCGGAGCGACCGGAGTGGAGGACCAGGCGGGCGAACGCTGGGCTGCGGCCGAGGCAGAGCGGGCGGCGGCTGCGGGGTCCCAGTGAGCCGGGCTGAGCCGTCGGGGGCCTGGCGAATCCTACCCGGGACACTTTCCGCTTGGAATTGGGATCTGGTTTTGGGAGCGGAGCGGGGACCGGGGTGTCGGGGCGAGTTTCTCGCGGGGCCCGGAGGGAGCGACCGGCAGCGCGCGCGGAGGGGGAGGGGGAGCGTGCCCAGCTGGAGCCCGGCCTCGGGGCGCGCCCCGGCCGCCGTCCCCACCTCCGCCTCCTCCTCCGTCTCCTCCTCCTCCTCCTCCTCCTCCAGTCCCGCCGCCGCCGCCGCTGCAGCCAACATGGCTGCGCTCCTGAGCCCGGGAGGCGGCCGCAGCTGAGCGCCGCCCGCCGCCCGGGCCCCCAGCGCACCCAGGACCCCCGGCCCATGGCCCCCGCCGCCTCACGGTTCCCGCCGCGCTAGGGCTGCAGCCAGGCGCTCACCGCCCCAAGTCGCCGCGGGGCCCCGCGGGAGCCCGGGAGCCGTCCTGCGGGGCGGGGCGGCCCGCCACCATGGAGCCCCAGCGCCGGGAGCTGCTCTCCCAGTGTCAGCAGAGCCTGGCCCAGGCCATGACCGAGGTGGAGGCCGTGCTCGGACTCCTGGAGGCCGCGGGAGCGCTGAGCCCCGGCGAGCGGCGGCAGCTGGACGAGGAGGCGGGAGGCACCAAGGCGGAGCTGCTGCTCAAGCTGCTCCTGACCAAGGAGCGGGACCACTTCCAGGACCTGCGCGCGGCGCTGGAGAAGACGCAGCCTCACCTGCTGCCGATTCTCTACCTGAACGGCGTCGTCGGCCCGCCGCAGCCTGCCGAGGGCGCCGGTGAGTGTCGGACCCCCGCCCAGCCTCTCAGAGATGCCTCCCACTACTTCTCTCTCCTGCTGGAGGAGGGGGCACTCGGGAGGGCCACTCCTCTCCCCGCCGCTGGCCACGGGGACAACCTTTCCTCCTTTAGCTTGCTTGGGGAAGGGGCGACGCGCGGACCTGTAGGTCACACCTCCTCCGCCAGCCTCGCCGCCGCTGCGAACAATACCCGGCACTGCAGGCCTTGACTCCCTGGTGCCAGGTCCGGCCAGGTCCGGCCTCTGGGGACCGCTGAGGGATGTCTGTCAGGCGCATTTCTAAGGCTCTTCGCCACCCACCCACCAGCTCTTTGCGAGCCTCTGTTAGCCTTTAATCGGTGGTACGGTATAGAAGCATGGAACCTGGCTCAGGACCTGAATTGTGGTCCCTGCCACCTGGTTTGAGGACCACGGGTGCCTTTTCACTTTCAGGCTCTCCCCGCTCCCTCTGCCCAGACCTCGGTCTGTTCGCTAGCCCAGACTTGTGGTCGATTATGCACAATGCCTGCTAGGTTTCTTTGGAAACTGTGGGCCCGGAAAAGTTGGGGAAGTTGCGTTGCACCATGGGAAAATCCTAGTAGTGGCTGCTGGGGCTCAGATCCCTCCCTGTCGGTGCCGAGCTGTGTGAGGAGGGAAGAACTGTGGCCGGTTCCCTGGGGTGGGGGTGGGGTGACGGATTTGTGAGTTTTTGTGCGTGGAGGTTATGCTGGGAGTTTGTGACGAGTGGTAGGCTTGGACTGGCCTGGTTGAGGAGTGTGGAAGGCCAGTCTTTCGGGCAAGGAAGCTCCAGGAAGGTTTAGCACTGAGGAAAGAAGAGAATGAGCATTTATTAGGCACCTACTGTTGTGGCAGGCACTCTGGTTTATCACATTTAATTGTTACTACTCTGTGAGCTATTATTCTTACCTTGCCGGAGGGAAAACTCTGCCTTGAAGTGGTTAAAATGCTCAAAGTATTGGACACCAGTTTTCAATTATGACCTACTGTTTTATTTAACACGTTCAGAGCCAGGAAGCTGCAAGTACTACCGTTTCTATGTCTTGTCTTTATTTTAAGAGTAAACTTAAGAGGGCTGACAAACTGTCTTTGGCAACTTATAGGCCAAAGGCTGATGAGTGCTGTTTATATGGCTGTTAAAAGCCTCACGATTAAGCGGATGATTTTATAAGGTGCTCTTGGTAACAGCTTTGATGTATATTGACCCTCTCCACCTCACTTTTTATAGTGGAGGAAACTGACATACAGAGACTAAACTGCTGACCACTCAGCGCATCATTTTATTTGATGGCCCTTTTGTCTTCTCTTTGGGTTTGTGACTCTCCAGCATTTACGCTTCTTCCTGCCCGTATTCTGGCCCCCCTATTATGATCATATCTGAGTTTCTGGGCAGATCAAGTCCTCTGTCAGGATGGTGCTTTTGAAGATACAAAGATGGATAAGGATGGAGGGAAATTTCAGTGGGGTAATTTTTTTCTTTTTAATTGCTTTTTATCTTTCATCATATTGTATCTTACCACATGCTTTACTACCTCAGTTAATTCTATGGCAACCCCAGTGAGATGAGTGATGTCTTCCCTGCATTGTGCTGGATTGTGTGACATTATCTGTGAGGTGTGAAGACAGGCCAGAAGTCTGTCTGTCCATTTATCTGTCTTCGAAGGAGGAGCGTTATCAAGGAAGCATAGAAGTTGGAGTGTAAGACTAAATCCTGTTGGGGTGTGTTTGAGTTAGCACTAGCTTTAATCTCTGGAATAGTTGGGTGAATTGCCATTAATTAGGTCCTCCCCGTTTTCTTGCCTGGTGGAGAAGATGGGGCCTTGCAGGGCCAAAGTTCTAGGAGCTGGTCCTGACCTCCGAGGAAGGAATGGAATAGAGTTTGGATTTTATTCCCAAGGGTAGTGATTTTAGACCCTCATTTTACTACAACGCAGCGTTCTTTAGCCTTGCAGAGGGTTACTACATTCTCAGAAAAGTAATTTTCAAGGGGAAGTTTAGTTAATATTTCAGAAAAAATATAGGGTGGCATTTGTTGTGGCAAGATGCCGTCTAGAGCTTCTGGGGGAGAAGTGATGTGATGTGCAAGTAAACAATAGAGTGTTGAGGTCTTTGTAATGGGTGACTTACTGTGCAGTGGTTTTCCAATTTTTTTTCTTTTAGCCAGAGAGCCCTTCTTATGGGAGAAAGCTCAGTGCATGAAAGGGATGGATGCACCTATCTCATTCCCCAGGAGCCAGAGTCAGGGAAATCCAGCACTGGGTCCTGCCTCCTTGCTCTCCCAGCAGTTTCCATGTTGCATGCAGGTCCATAGCTCTACCCACAAGTTGGCCTTAGTGCAAGGACCTTGTGGGATCCTGAGACAGGAGCCAGTTGGCTTTCTAAGCATCCAAAGCATCAAGGGGAGGCCTCTTTATCAACATCTCTACATCGGAGGTCCTGCCATCACCCAGTTATGGGCTGTCTTGGCGAATTCCACATCCTTTGTGGGTCAGAATGCTCATCCCTTCCCAGGCACTTGTATGGGATGGGAGTTTGCTGTGCAGCAGGTAAATGATATCTGGCAGCCCCTCACATGGGGCCTGGAATTAGGAGGAAGCTGGCTTAGGTGGTACTGGACAGGTGAACACACCAAGCCCATCTGTTCTGCTCATGCTCAGTTAGGACCCTGGACATTCATAACCCACCGGGTTTAGGCTTGGAGTATGAAGGTGCCTGAGACAATGGTGTTGTTTTATTTTGGGGGTGCAGGGGGACTCCTGTGTCAGGATTGACAATACATTGTCGTTCAGTGTATTATATCTTAACCACGTGCTTTACTGTCTCACTTAATTCTGTGGTGACCCCAGTGAGATGAGTGATACCTTCCCTGCATTGTGCTGGGTTTTGTGACCTTGCCTGTGAGGTGTGAAGACAGGCCAGCAGTTGCAGGGCGCGGAGGAGCTGGAGTCAGGGAGAAGCACAGTGCTCCCGATTCTGTGTGGGGCACAATTTTTCTAACACCTGATTAGGCCCCTCACTGTAATGTCAGGCCATTTCCTGCATTGTGGAATTATGTAGACTTTCCTCTTCCCCATACATGGATCTGTAAGGAGGAAGTGATTCTCTCTGCAACCCCCTCCCAGGGTAGAGATAGGAGAGAACCGTTGTTTTCCTCTCAGTGGCTCAGGTCTGTAGGGTTTCTTCCACAGTTGTACCAGGATCTTGTTTGTTCACCCGGAACCCACACAGTCCTTTGTTTTTTCTCTTTGATTCAATTACTAACATCTGGGGTTTTTCACTTGAAGAACCTCCACTGCCTGTACCTGAGAACCCCTTCCTGGCTGTGAGCCTCAGTGTCTTCGTCTGTGAGATGGGGCTAAGGATGCCACACTGCCTGACTCAGCCCCTGGGAGGGCAGAACGTGATCAGGGAGGACTGAAGTGCTTGGTTCTGTGCTCAGTCCAGGTGGGGCTGGGGTGCAGACAGACACAGGGTGCGTAGGATGTAATTCCAGCCTGCAGCTCTAGGAGAGTGACATTACGAGACAGATCAATTGAGTGATACACTACAAGCAGGCTTTTTCCTCCTTTTAAAGCTCTGTATACTACAGGCTTTTCCCAAATACTCTCGCCCACCCTTAGGGGCTCTAATTACCATCTAAATGTGGAGGGCTCCCCAGACCATTTTGCGTCAGGCCTCTCTTGTGGGGCAGAAGTAGCAGAACTTGGTAATTGCCCACTGGCCCTTCTAATGGGCTCAGAGCTGAATGTTTGCCTCTTGTTCCCTCTGTACCTCCTCTTTAGTTTCCTGGTGAGCTGGCTGACTCAGCTTCACCAGAGTTAAGACAATGGAGACAGCAGCATCTGCTGGAGAAGCTGAGGAAGACTTTGTGGAGGGACTGGACCTTGAGATGGGTGTTGAAAGGGCACTTTGAAAATGCATAGGGAAAGGAGGAGGACATTCTGGGCAGTAGGCCTAGCCGTGAGAGGAGCAGTATGTTTTCAGGTTGCAGAATTAGGCCAGCCCGGGTAGAGCAGGGGATTGGCATTGGCTCTGGGTGGGTAGGGATGCAACTGTAGTCTGGAGGGCCACAATGGCTAGCTGAGTGAGGGGTTTGGATATCTCTTAGAATTTAGGCATTGTACACTGTCAGAAGTTAAAGCTGGAGGAATTTCTTTAAGAGGAATAGCCCTCCCAGGTTTTTATAGTAGGACGAGTGCAGTGGCTGGTGATGGTCAAGTGTGGATTATTTATTATTCATCAGAGGTTACCTGGGCCTTTTGTTCTCTCCTCACACTCTTAGGTACCAGCCTCCTTTTCTTCATCAACTTTGTCCTGGAGGGTCAGCAGGGACAGTGACCTAAGTAAAAGTTTCAACCATTGTAGTTTTTCTTTTAATTGTGTTATTTGAGAGGAAGGGGTGGAGGAACTTGGACGTAATAAGTGAGAAGAGTTTTCTAAGAGAAAGGCAGATTATTGCAAGTGACAGAAATGTAGCCTAAACCATATTAGTCAGAAGAGAGGAATTTATTTATTTATCCATATATTTCATTGATTATGCTGTTATAATTGTCCCACTGTTTCCCCTCTTTATTCCCCTCCTCCCAATATCACCCCTCGACCCGCATTCCCCCATCTTAGTTCATGTCCATGGATCATACATACAAGACCTTTGGCTTCTCCATTTCCCATACTTTTCTTAACATCCCCCTGTCTAGTTTGTACCATTTAGGTTTCTTATTCCCTGTACCTTTTCCCCTATTTTCCCACCTCCACCTCCCTGCTGATAACCCTCCATGTGATCCTCCATGTGATCTCTGTTTTTGTGGTTCTGTTGCTCTTCTAGTTGTTTGCTTGGTTTGTTTTTGTTTTTTAGGTTTGGTTGTTGATAGTTGTGAGTTTGTTGTCATTTTACTGTTTGTATTTTTGATCTTCTTTTTCTTAGATAAATCCCTTTAACATTTCGTATGATAAGTGCTTGGTGATGATGAACTCCTTTAACTT